TCACACATACCAATTGAACGGGCACGGTGTTACTCTCGCTCGAAGAAAGGTAAGGAGAGAGAACTGATGGTCCTTCAACGCGAAAAAAATATGAAATTTCCCTGTGGTGTTTATGGTTGGCAATGATCTTTCTACAGAAATGATGGGCTACATCATTAAACTAATCGAGAAATATTGTTGAATTTAATTCGGTTATTGCTTTGTAAAAATGCCTCAAGTAAGAATGTCTCTTCATTTTTAGGTATGTATTATCAACCAAATACTTTGGGCGATTAGCTTTTCTGATATCAGTAGATTTTTCCTTACTGAACATATATCTACTTCAAAATATGTTATGGTGCTAAATGGAATGACTCTAAAACGTGGATAATTCTAGTACTAAACATAAAGAAAAATATTACGCTAAATTAACATTTTTACGATTCATTTGATAATAATGGTTTCAAGGAAATTTATTAATTTATGATCATGTACATCGGATATAAGCCGTGTTCCAAAATTGACTACCAGTACTCTGAAAATATATAATGCACGTAACGTAAACTATAGTTTTTTAGCACTGACAGTAAATTTGAAACATAGCTCTAGAAAAAAATGCATGTAATTTTATATGGAAATTATATGTCCATGACTGGAACATTACCTAAATATATTTACAATTTCCTGTAAATTTCCAATCATATTTAAGTAATTTAGATAATTTTCCAGTCATAGACGGGTAATTTCCATGTAAAATTACACGCATTTTTTTCAGTATAGTCGACGGATGAATCGCTTTTGTCTATGACGTGACACTAGGAATGGTGGAACAGTACAGTATAGTACTTAATTATTCAGTGAAATCTCCGAAAACGACTGAAAATTGAGCCAGTCTTTGGAAAAGAATGAAAGTATTTTCATTCTGGAAAAAGAGTGGAAAATCATCACTCTTTCTGAGTGAGATTTTATTCGTTTGGAGTGAGATTGATCACTCCAAAGAAAAGAAAAATCTCACTCCTTTTTTAAGATTTCGTTTCTTAGAGGGAATCTCACTCCAAAAGAATAAAATCTCACTCCAAAAGAGTGAAAATTTGTCACTCTTTTTTAAGGATTTTTTAAGGACTATCTTTATTTGAAAATATTTTCACTCTTTTTCAAAGACTGCAATGGGTCAATTTTCATTCTAAGAGATTTAGAGAGCATTTATGCAGTCTGGAGATCACCTTTTATACGAAGAGTTAAAGACCGAATAATTCGTGTACTCTCTACTATTTTTTAATTAGTAGAGAGTACGAATTTAATTAGTTTACTAAAAGGCAAATTGCGAGATATTGGTAATTTATGAAATCGATAAAAGTACAACTAAAATATTATCTGCGCTGTAAATCACAGGTTATATCGCGGATGCTGTCAGATAGTCTTGACAAGCCATCTTAGTGTGCAATGCTCGTAAAAGGGTGCGATACACCTACGCTATTCGATGCTTGCGCGAACTGCGCGCCAGAGATAAGAAATTAAACGGAATTCTTATAAAACAGTAAGTGCTAGTTGTGTCCTTAATGTTGCCGTCAACGCCACAAGAGAAAGAAAACGTTCGTATTTTCTTGAATACCGGTTACGAAGTCCGTGAAGCCTGCACGTGGCCCTGAATGCCACGGCCGTGAGAGAATGCGTGCAACGCCCTTTCCGACGCGATATCGATTCATCAGTAATAGTGTCTTCTTATCTGGCGGTAGATTCGGTATATAGATTAATTAACCGAGAAATCCGCCGATATTGTTCGTGCGCTCAAACTACTATGCAAATTTACTTTGGTGATAAAGCGAATGGATATGAACAGCTTAGACGTCATTATAATATTTCATCGTAAACATTTTGTCACATTGTAGCTTCTGCAATTAGTAGCGCTGTTCGCGAAATGCACCGATCTTCTGCTGGACAGAAGTATGTAATAAAACCGAGTGAAATAATTGAGCAAAATCGTTTATTCGCATAGCGAATATCACAGCGAGAACTGGCATCAAAAGTCTTGATAGTCGATCTGTTAAGTGACAATGTATCCTTTATAAGAAGAATATTTTCTTTACTCTATAGACTCTAAATCAAAAAATAAAATTGATTTAAAAATTTAACGGATCTCTTATTATGAAAGATAAAAACTGCAAAAGATAGCATATAAAAATATGTAAGCAATATAGGGTCATGTAAGAGCCCATACAAATCCTATCATGCCAGTCAAGAATTAATGGCAACTCGTAATATTGCCGGTGTTGAAGAAATCTCGCCACAAGAATGTACCGCGACATTGAATGCTAGTCACCGACACTAGGCGATCGTTTTGCCGCAGAATGGAAGGAAACGATAAATAATATTGAGGCAAAGTACAACGTATCGAGACGGCCCATCGGCCGTTACGCATAAATGTGGATGAAAGTTTTTGCACGGATCTTTTTACTTAAATAGAAGAACAGACCTTTATATCGAGTAATCCCAAAACGAATATTCGAAATACTTTGCTAAGTCACGGTAGAACAGCGTGAGCGAGACGTATCACGAGATGTTTTTTTTCCAAGTTGTTAGAATAAAACAAGGAATGAAACGACCAAATGAACATGTTCACAAAAAAGTTCGACAAAAATAAAATCGTGTTGCTATGGAAAATGATAAATGAATGGTTATCTTTTCTGCAATCGTATTTCATTGGCAAATAAAATACTTCACTTTTCAAGAAAGAAAACACTCCCTTTGTGCACACATACGACCTTTTTATTAGTTATTAAAATTAGGTATAGGTTCCGATTTCATTGTAGCAACCTTATCAAATTAGTTATAAAAATGTTACTACATTAATGTATCGGAAAGCTTCTTAAAAATATGTTACTGTCCTCAACGCGATTACATATATATTTTTCTCAATCTATTTCAAAGCCACTTCTTATCGTTGTACTATGCATTCTTTTCTCTATGTTGAATTATATTATCTGTTACTGTCGAAATCTCGTTATGCGATTGATTTAACGAAATAAATAATATGTCGTTCTATAATAATTATCATATACGCATAATCATATATATGTTATCACATACTTATCAAATAGAATTTAATATATTTTACCGATTGAAAGAATTTTGTAAACAATAAAAATTTTATATTTGTATTAAACGATCCACTCATATCTTTATTAAAATTTTATGTTAAATTTTTAACATATTTGAGTGTTAATTTAACATGATATATGATTGTTATTTGATATATGATGGATATTTTGTATGAAATTAATATTCAACATTTCTTAGTGTCAAAATAATATAATTTACGAGTGAACAAATAACAAAATAATATGTAATACATTCACAGTCCAAATATATTAAAAATTTGCGCTCTACTCTTATCGCGCCGTTACTCTCATTTGCCACATTATTGCTATTATGTGATATTAAATAACACAAAGAGTATTTTAAAATATAAATTCTGTAGTAGAATTTCAACACTACCTTATATATTTCGCACCGAACTTAATTTTTTTCGTTTTAATTATTAACATAATTTGACAGTGGTATGGATCATCATTTCTTTTATTTCAATATGATTTTATTCATTGACTACAGGTAACTGATGTATTGCGATTATTAACTTTAAGATTCAAATATTTTACGACTATATTTTACGATTATAATCGTTGGTTACATCATTGTAGGATTCCTAGTGGTTCACTACCATCCAGTCTTTCAACTGGAGAGTTTACCCTATAATGGAGGAAATGGTTACCGCCGCACAATGATTTTGACCGGACAACAATTTACTGTAATTATTTCTTTTTCTTTTGGTTTGGACTGTAACTAATGGATAACATTTTACTGTAATAATTTTGTTTTTGCTGAAGAAGGCTAATAAAAGATTAGCCGAAATATGTACAAGTTAATTCTTTTTATTTGAGATAAAGTTTTTTCAAAGCAAACTGCGCGCCGTTTACAGTGCTAATTCCCAATTGCCTATTTGTCATTTGTTTATAAATTCTAAGATAAATTTAACACATCGTGAATGTTAATTTTTTTATTATGAATTACGAATTTTTACTTCTTTAATTATTTAAACAGCGTATGTTTTTATCAATTTTAATAAAATGCAATAGTTAGTTTAAGAAATAAGAGGGTGTCTTTTAAGATATATATATATATATATACATATACACACATAATATATATATATAAAATATGCAGAATGTAACTCATAACATTGTGTGTGGTTGTTGTAAGAATCCGCTTATTATACGTAGGTATACCTTCCAATCCAGGTGCACAGGTACGCTGTGCATGTACTATATAATCGAGCAGCATCCTATAAAATTATGCAAAAGACTTCCAACGATATATTGCCGACGTTGTCATGTCGAAGTTATCGGAAAAAAATGAGGAATATGATCTACAGCAAGGTGGACATTAAATGATCTTATAACTACCTTACATTTTTATATAAAATTCAAAACTGAGATGCAGATTCTAACATTACTTATAAATGATTTTCTCAAAACTTATTAAAAATATTTTTATCAAAAATTAAAATTAAAGTTAAAAACATCTAATTAACACTAAATATAAACAAATACGTAACTTTTATACATATTAATAATTTGATACATGAATTTGTCATATTATTACAATGTTTATAACATAAATTTTATCGTAAAAGAATTACTATTTATATCAAAGCAGTTAGTTAAAAACAAATACGTACTTAATTAAAAATACTAAATTAAGAATAAATTTTGTTTAATATTGATGCATTTTTAAACTATATGCATTAATAGTATAAAAAATTATTGATATATGAAATGAATAATTGAAAGTAGAAAAATAAATACAACAAGAATTAATGATTTTTAAAAAAGTATTTTTTTATCAAAAAAAATATTGACGGATTAGAATCTGATCGGAAACTTCCTTAGCAGCTGTTGCTTCACCATCACTGATCGTGCTGTTTATTGATGATTCCGCTAGATCAAAATGTCGCATAATGCGACGCATGTGTGGTCACTCAGCTATCACAACATAATGTAAAAATGCCATTGTGTTTACTAAAAGAATTTCGATTTTCTTTGATTCTGGCACACATTTTAATCTAAATCCGATAATGTGAGTGACATTGTTATCATCATACAAAACAAAATGTAAACAAAACGTGTGCATAATTGTTAGATGTGACATAACCTATTCTTCTAGCGAGTTATGTTTGATGACGTTCTTTTTGTTCAATATATTTTACATATTATTTTTTTATACTTTGTTTTCCTCATTCCTTACTTTACACGATTGTATACCGCATGAATATTTGCGCGTTCCGAACACTATATTATTTAAATCTATCTATAAACAAGCTATTCTTTATACATACTAGGAGCAGTCAAATGAAATGTAGCAGAAATTCTGACATTGGAATCAACTGACTTGTTAATAATTATCATAGTTGATAAGGCACTTTTTCCATTGTGAAACCAAACGATGGATGCCCTATTCAGAAAATTCCTTAGGCTACTGAAATCAAACCCACTTGTAAACAACCTCCTGTACTGCTGTGTCTAACAGAAATTTTCTACCTTTCAGATTCTTCTTCAGTATCCTTACTCTATAACTTTTAACGACAGTTCAGTATCGTTATGTTATTGTTGCCCAGCTTTTTTACTATGTATACTATCTATGTAATTACAATATAATGATATCGACGCTGTTGTTAAAAATTACAAAATCAGAGTACAGATCTCTAGAGATGTGCAAATTACATGGCACAATTTTGGTGGGAAAATACTGGAGCATCCTGTCTGTAGCCCAGACTAATTGCTATGTGATTTTCATACCTTTGGAGACTGAAGAAAAATCTGAAAGGTAGGAAATTTCCATCGAACATAGCAGTACAGGAGACTGTTTACAGTGGGTTCAATTCCCAAAGAATTTTATACACAAAGTATTCGTTGTCTGATTTCATAATGGAAGAAGTGCCTTGCTAACTAAGTGATTATTGATATGTTAGTCGATTTTAATGTCTGAATTTTTCATCCACTATGTTTTATATTTGATTGCCTCTAGTATATATATATATATATGTGTGTGTGTATGTGTGTATGTGTAAACTAATCTCATTTTTCGTATTTTGTAGTACAAGAGCTTAATTAATTATGGATCCACAAATTCAACAGAAGATCTTACAATTTGAGACCTTCATAAACGACGTGCTGAAAGCTGATCTTGCAAAACTGGCCGAAAAGCTTGACACTAAAAATGCTGACGTCACCGAATTTTTACAATTGAAATCGGTGATAACGACGTTTCAAAATACAAACGCTGAAAAAATCGGTTTCAAAACTAAAGTCGATATTGGAAATAATTTCTTTATTCAAGCACATGTTCCAGATGCTTCCAAGATCATATTGGATGTTGGTTTAGGACATTATATTGAATTCACTTTAGACGAAGCTTTAATCGTTATAAATATACGGATCAAGTTACTTGAGCAACAAATAGCGAATTTACGGAAAGCAGTTGCAAGAACCAACGCCCATATTAAGTTAATTCTTATTGCTATTAGAGATTTGCAAGGAATGAGAGACATTTGAAATATTGCTGTAACAAAAAACGATTTAATGTAAGAATATTTTTTAAAAATATAGCTTTATTTTGTTTATAAAACAGAAATGCTCTGCATATTGAGGTGTATATATGTGGTAGCTGTATATAATTCATTTTTATATATTTCTCAATAAACTCATAAAACGATAGTTCTATGCATTATTTTCAAACTTTTTTTGTTCTACTTTTCTAAAACTATAATCTTAAGACACATTTATGTTAAAGATAGCGATAATTAAAATAATTGATAAAATAGTATTTCATGTAATTCGTCTAACGTATTTTTAATACATCCTTAACCAAAATAAGATGATACGTTTCAAAAGTGCTCCTTCTGTTACCTCTATCAAATTTTAGATGCAGCCACTTATGGAAATATGTATGAAAGTAGCCTTCCCAAGCAATTTTTCCCTATTCTCTCTTCATATGTGCATTTTGTACTTTATGACTTAAACTGTCTCTGAGCTATACTGTCTACAAGTTAAAGGCTTACATAATTTCAAGTGTTTACCAGTATACTCTTATGCATATGTTATTCACCCCTATTGGGTATAAAGAATGTTCACACACAATGTAGTCATTTATTAACTCTTCGAGATCTTAAAGCAAGAGATTTAGAGATCTCTTCTTGAAGATGGTGTTAATAGTATTTTGGATAAAAATTTCTAAACTGAATTGCTGATATATGTAATATTATAAAAACTATTTCTTTAATTATAAGTTATTTTTATATTTTGTACATTTATAATATTAATGTATATCTTAATTGTAATTATCAATACAAATTTTTAATTCTTTTTGCATAATAAAAAATCCATAATTTAATAATTGATGTGTTGTATGTTATTTTTTGTTTAAATATAAATGCCAAAGGTTACATTATCATAATAAGACTAAAGACGCGTTATACTCTTATAATATGATAAATTATTTCATAATCTATATTTTTGATTAGTTGATTAGATAAGTAAGAAAAGTTATTAAAACTTTCTATATAAGCCCTATATAAACTTCTACCGGTAAATAAGGTTCTATCATCAGTAGATAATATCTACAATAGTAAGGTAAATATATAATGTTACATAAAAAATAATTGCGTTTTATTTGTTGATAAATAATTTTATGCTATAAATGATAAAATATGTTTTTAGTAATGATATTGATAGTAAATGTTTTATCGATAAATTTTTAATAATGTTGTTCTTGAAATAGATAGATGGCATCAACGAAAAGTCTCAAATATTTTTTTATAATGTATATATATTAAAATGTTTATATATTCTATTTAAATTATTTATGTACATGTACTTATTTAGATGTTCTTATCTTTCTTATTTAAATTAATAGTAACTCTGAAACCGAAAAAGTAAAGTATCATTAAAAAAAAGTAATTTAATGATTAAGAGGATGCTAAAGTCATTCTGTTTTACCATGATTACGTTTTAGGAGAAATCTTTGAATTGGCTTCACGGATTGCAAAAATTTTTTTACAGAATTAAAAAACGCATAAAAAGAAATCCCGGAAAACACGATTTCACAAGAAAATCGGAAAAAAATTCACTTTTTCTGTCACGTTACCTGAGGTTAATATTTGCTTGATATAAAAGTTTTATAGCTTGTAGATTGAAAATAAGCGTGAAGAGGGATTCAGCGTACTTGAACAAACACTATTGACAAGGGAAGTTTCACAACTGTCCAGAACCGATTTGATTCTCCATGAAATATGTTGTTAAACACGAAAATCTAAGAAACACGTATTTATATAAAATTTGATTTTAAAGATCTTAAGTTCTATAGATGGCTTATTTTTAATTTATCATTTTCATATAATAAATAAATATTTTTCCATTTGTGTTTTTATGAATATTTTTCATCATCAATTAAAAAATTTTAAACAAATAAATAAAAATTGTAAACAAATAGAAAATGATTTATTTATATGGAAATGATAAATTAAAAATAACCCATCCATAGAACAATTGAAGATCTTTAATCGGTCTCTTGTCTTTTTTTTTGGTATGACTAATGGTTCCGACGATATAATAATTTAAATGTTTGCATGAGCGACATTTTTTTATGAATTTCTGCAACTTACAAGCGTGAATAACTTCACAAAAAAATCTTAATTCGTAAAACACGTGTCTCATGTTTTTATCTGTAGAATATGTTAGCAAATTAAAAAAAAAAATAAAATGACAATGTTTCAAAGGTGCCTGGTTTGACGTGATAATGCCTCAGATTTTAAGTATATACTAATAGTCATTTTAAGGAGAAAATGTGTAAAATATTAATTTACTTTCAATGATAGATACAAATCAATACAAATTCAGTTATGTTAAATTTTGTCCTGTGTTATTTTTTTTTATGATCCTGCCAGCTTAAATATTAAACTAGCAGCATCACTGTTTTCTTAGAAATGACACATAATAGAATTGTTTGGGGTAGTACAAAATTGTACAAATTCAATCCTATTGATTTCTGATATTATTTTTCTGTTTTTCTTTTATTTTGGTCCTGCCAGCTTAATAGTAAGTTATCAGCGCCACGATTTTTTTCGAAATGGCACACGGTACAAAATTATCATTAATAGTACAATTTAGTACAAAATGAGTACTAAAAATTCTGATAGGTCCGATTTGATTCTGCTAATTTGGTCTTGCTAGCTTTATAGAGCTTAGTTGGATAATCTGATTAAAGGAGGTGGAGCAATAAATTTCTAATACTAAGAAGAGGTCAATTCGTGACTATTTTCTCAACTCGAATCGTAATATCAAGACAAATATGAAGTCGACTAATCCACATTTAAATAACTAAGAAGCCATACATCCATACTAGAATATAATTTGCCACCATGGCTGTATACTTGCATCCATCAAATCAACTTTTACACGTGAAATATTTTTTTCGATATTATTATTATCGATCAATCTAATATAAAATACGTAGTCTTAGAATTTATTATGCTAATGTAGTTATTTAAATATATATATATATAATATAGAAGATGTTATTAAAACATGAATTATTATATAATAAATAACAAAACAAATACATAAAATTAAAAGAAAAGATAAAATTGTGCTCATAATAAACTTCTTTTTTATTTATATGTTAACGTTAAAATGATCCTATATATAAAATAAGAAACGGTAGATGAATTGTAAAATTGTACATATGTTTAATATTTTAATGATATATAAAAAAAAATACGTGATTTATATTGATTTTATTATATCGTTCTTTTTTATTTGATGTACATTTTAGCGATATTTGACGATGAATTCTTCACGGGGCATTTTGTTCATCAATTACAACCCTGCGATCTAAGCCGACGTTAGGGGTTCTTGGCCTGCAGATGAACGCAAAGCGCAGTAGGTTACCAACACGAGCGGTTGTTAACATCAATATTACTCACACAAGAGTTGATTTCTTAAATGTCGATAGACATGTACAAATTAAAGTCACAATGTAAGAAGAGATTGCCAAATCTTTCTCCAAAGGTGTGTATCTTACTTATATGCTGTAATACTCAGTTTTTAATAAGTGTTCATCCCTTTTTCCATTAATCATAATTAATATATAAAGTTTTAACTTTCAGAAGAATGATTTTTCAATTTCACATCATTACCTATACTTATTATATTCCATAACTTTAGATTTTAATACAAACAAAAGGTGTTTATAATATATGTATTGTTCCGATTATTACATCACCACGACGCGGCGAAGCTTAAAGCGATTAAGCAACATCCGCGGACACATTTAATCTCAACTGACAAGGGAACCTCTCAAATTCTGATTTTAATGAAACTTTGTGAACTTGTAGCTTACATAAAGAGATGAATTTAGAAAATATCAGTTGCGACTAAAAAACGGTTTGAAGGGGTGAAATCACTCTTTATGTGAAATTCATCTCTTTATGTAAGCTACAAGTTCACAAAGTTTCATTAAAATCAGAATTTGACACCTCGAGAGGTTCCCTTATAAGTATAACGTTGATTTTTGCCATGAAATCTAATGTTATTTATTACCTACTATAAAATCCATAATATAATTCTTATGATATTATACTTTGAATGAATTTGTAAAGATATACATACGTTAGTTAACCTCGCATATTTAATTAGTTGACGACATCAATAAAATGTGTAGCGCTGTTCTTAATAAATTAAATTTAATTGAGACTTAAGGGGATGCTGGAGTGACCAAACTTATCACATTACAGTCGTATAAAAATCTTCGAATTGACTGAACGGAATAAAAAATCCTTTTATAGGATTAAAATAGACACAAAATTAAAATGTGGTGCAGTGAATTTTATTCTAAAATCGAAAGAATGTTAAAAAATTTTTTAACTTTTTTTCGATTTTAGTACAAGGTCCACTGCACTACCTCTTAATTTTGCGTCTACTTTAATCCAGTAAAAGGATCCTGATTTCTTATTCCGTTCAGTCAATTCGAAGATTTTTATACGACTGTAATGTGATAATTTGGTCACTCCAGCATCCCCTTAAAAGAGATAAAACAAATGCTAAAGAATCTTGTGATATGTACCATTTAATGAAAAATACTATAATTATTTAAATATAAAAAGTAATCCGGAACTAGTGCCTGATCCACATCTAGTGCTTTTACTCCAAGTTTTACCCTATACATAAGTCGTTGAGTTTCCTGGACGAATCCCGGTATGATATACAGAGTGTGCAACATTGCGTATCCACGGCAATAGCTAGAGTGATTCCTAAACATAATCCTTGTCAAGTTAGTGCAGGTTATATCCAGAAGTCACCCTGAGAATTCGCACATTGTACACTCTGTATATAATACCGGAGTATTCGTTCGAGAAGCAACGATTCGTATATCTGTGATTGCCTCGGTGCGTGCTTTCATAATAAAAATTGCAGTAAAAATCAATTAATAAAAAATTAATAACCTAATCTAACCCATCCTATCCTATGCGACACGTGAGCGCGCGCGCGCCTGGTTGCGTATATGTATGCGTATAAGTGATTAGCTGCGTTCAGTTCAGCAAAAAAAAAAACAGTTTTCCAACTATAAAATTTTTGAATATGATTGGTTTATACATTTAGATCCAGTGAGGAACTAAGAGCAAGACTAATCATGTTAAAGAATTTTACAACAGTTGCAAATTAGCTGCTTTTTCTACTGAACGTAGCTATTGACTGTAACCTTCCCGTTTTTATTATATCCGGATACTACTCTGAAGCTACAGATATTCGTGGAGAAATTCTGTGGGAGATGGTGTACTGCGGACATTAGATTATTCGCAGAACGTATCTCGTCAATCGCAGTACGTTTGAGATTGTTCTGAGATTATCGCAATTATATTTTTGCGATAATCTCAGATTATTCTCAGTATCTCAATGTGCTGTTAAGGATCATTTATTCGCAGCCTCAAATACGCTAAAATATTATTATTATACATATTATAATGTGGCAATATAAAAGTATATTTAAAATTCTGCTTGATAATATAAAATATTCATATTTAACCCTCGAACGTGAAATTTTTAAGGCACAGTCGATATTTTGATTGTTAACTTTTTAAGAAAATAGACAGATGGCGGAGCTCGCTATCGCATCCTAAAAAAACTTGATGATAACGACATCGTATGTGTATACAGGGTCACCAATGCAGTTATTTGCTTCGTTACAAGGACGAATAAAAGTCGTGTCTATACCCTCAATGATTCAAAGTGCAATCCACGTAAGTATTTATTTCAAAAACTTTTTGTTCTTTTTCGTATTTTACAAGTTTTTTTATGATAATTTCAACAGTTTATAGAAATTTTGCTTTAAAATTAATTTTTCTACATTTGTTATTATTTTTTTACTGATGCCAATGAATATATATTTTTTTATAAATATATTTTTGCACTTTACAGATTTTTTATATTAACATTAAAAAGTGTTATGTTAATAAATTTTTGTAATATGGAAGAAACTTCTGCGTTTTTTAACTCATAAAAGTTTTCATTTTCATGTTCTCAAATAATTCAACTTTTTGAAACCAACATTTGTTTTTTTTAAGTGCATATCCTTCAGTACTGTAGCCTAAAAGCATTTCTTTTCATTTACTCATAAAAGTTATGAATTTTTAACCTATATCACGTTCTTTCAAACTCCGATTTCAAAATGTAAATAATTAATAAATTAAAATCCAACTTCTATTACAGTAAAAACTTAATGTTAAAAGTTTCACAAGTATACAAGAATTTTTTCAGATTTTTATATAGAAACAATAAAAAAAATAGTAATAGCTCAAACTGCAAGCCATGATCGAAAATTTCGTGATGCCGGTGAAGGGTTAATAGATATGTCTAGAAACGTTATCGATTGTACGAATCAAAATTGTATTGTTACTATATACTGTCGCGATTAAATGAAACAATATGTCTAAAAACGTTATTGTTCATACACATCAAAATTGTATTGTTATTTGTTGCTATATGCTGTCGCGATATTAAATAAAACGATAAAAAAATATAGATTTATGTCAAAGTGTTAACAGCAATTAATTTTTAGAGGATTATATAAGCGATGCTTGCTTTTATAAATATAGAGGATCGGATTAAATCTCTAAAATTAACAAGCGCAAAAAATAATTTTTTATCCTCTAAACTAGTGTTTACTAATAAATTGTCATGTTTCTCTGTTTGAAATATCTCTCTACTTTACTCAAAATATTAACTCTATCTACGTAGATATTTCAGTAAAATGCTGACCCGACACTACGTTTAATCGATATTAGCAATCAACCGCGTGACAGAAGTTCAATGATTACGAGAGTTTCACTTATTCCCTCCATCACATACACATGCGATATCACTTTATAATTTCATCCATAATGTAACATACCTTTATTGTTACTATATCATTTCTACATGTTTATTGGCTATTAAATTTTTCTTAGATTTGTTTAATGTTAATGTGAACAATATAATCGCTTTATCTTCTTTTTATTGACTTTATTTTCCAGGATATGGGAATTATGGATATTTATCATTATCTTATCGACGAAATTTCGGGTAAATAGACAGATAAAGAAGTACTTAGTTGAATTTTATATTTATGGAAAAGATTGTATATATTAGGTATAAATAATGTGTATATAAAAATACAGAAATACTAATATAGCATAATATATTATAATCAATAGTATAATAATATAATCATAAACAAAAATTATTTAATTACGTATGTCGAAAAGATGTTTCTATTAAATGATATAACCTTTAATCCTTTTCTTTATATAGCAATTATTAATTTTTCGTACTTTTTTTACGAGTTGCGACGTTACAATCTTTTTCACAAACTTAAGGAGGTTCGCCTATTACTTTGGAGTCAAAAATGCGACTGAAATAAATTATCATTACAGCGATTCCGTATCATATGCAATATTGGTGTAATGAATTGTGGATACTATTTATGTGCTATATTCTTAGTAAATTATTAGTGTATAGAATATATTAACAAATGTATGAAATTAGGTGCGTTCGGGGAGACGCTATTAGCGCTATGTCTGTCATTCTATCCTTGTTTTACGTCTAATAAACAACGAAGATAGAATGACAGAAGTAATGCTAATAGCGTCTCCCCGAACGCACCAATTGTCAACGACTCGGGAGGTCGAGTATATATTTCGCCAACGTTGCACTGCGTTGCACTTCACGATGTGACAGGCAATGACCGGCTATGGCGAATGATAAGGGAGAAATTCAGAATCGGTATAAAGGCCGATTTTGTATTATTTTCATATTCTGTTTCACACCGAGATCGATTCTAGGTTATATGAAGTTAGCTTCGTATCAGCTGTGTACTGCGGCGTTGCCAAGTCTGTTACTACTAATGCGATCCGTGAGGTAAAGGTAAACTTTGTGACAATAAAATTTTAAATCCATACGATAAAGTCCGATTTTTCTTTTTTGTACACAATTGTTGATATTTCATCTGTCAAATGCTAGTTTTTCAAAGTCCTAAGTTGACTAAGTGCATATTAATCGGTGATTATTTACTTCGGAACGACCGCCTCCCATAAGGCGATATGTTTAAAATAGTCAACTTCAGAATAACATTACAAGAAAACTTAAAAACTATGTCATCAATATTGCTCGAATTGTGAGATTATTTGTGTACAGTATATATTTATCTACATCATATAAAAAAATTAAGACTCTAAGTTGATTTTCGACTAACAGGCGAACCTCCTTAAATATATTATTATGATGAGTATTTAATAGTCAAATGTTTAAATTGTTTCTTCAATTTTCAGATCCTAGAGTTTCTGATTGGCCTTTGATGTCAAATCCGTTTGGTATAATATTGATTTCACTCGCTTATTTATCTTTTGTGCTTTATCTTGGACCACTTTATATGAAAAAAAGAAAATCTTATGCGCTTATCAAGACTATGATATGTTATAACATTTTTGTTGCAACTGCAAGCGCTATTATTTTCTATGGCGTAAGTATACGTAATAAATAAATAAATAATTTAATATACGTGCGATAAAAGATTTTTTAGTTATAAATATTTTATATTTTCTCTATTTATATTTCTCTATTAATATTTTTAAATCTAAACTATAATTTCTTATCCGTTTTCTAGTTACTTACATCTGGCTATACAACACATCTATCTATGGGATGTGAACCTTTTGTAATTTCAGATGATTCTATGTCGCTCAGCGTAAGTAACTATTAAAATTTATGTTAAAATTAAATTTTATATCATCGTTCATTCTGACTACGTTAAAAAATTATTTAAACAAAACCTTCCATAATTTAATATGAGTATACCATAATTTAATTGAAAATTAATCAATAGAAGAGTCTTTTTAATATAGAAACATCCGAGATAATAAAGTTTTATTATTTACAGATGGCTCGATGGGTATGGTGGGTTTTAATTCTAAAAATCACTGAGCTTGCAGATACTGTGATTTTTATTTTCAGAAAAAAATATAATCAAATTTCATTTCTTCACGTATATCATCACACAGTGACAATCTTTTTGGCATGGATTACCTGTAAATATGCACCTGGTATGCATTAGAAAGCAAAATTGTAATGATTTTAGAAGGAAATTTAGTGAATTATGGAATTCAAACGTTTCGATCGAAAAAGATATTGAGAGTATTACACGTACTCTCTAAAAGTGAATCAGTGTATTATTACTGACTTCAGTGCTACACTTATAACTGATGTAATCATCAGCGAATATTTACTGTTTTTCAGTAATAAATACACTGATTCACTTTTAGAGGTTATTGATTTTCTGCAGATTCAATCTGTAGAAATATATAATACCATAACTTCTAAAAATGAATCAGTGTATTATTACTGAAAAACAGTAAATATTCGCTGATATTACAGTTAGAAGTGTAGCAGAAGTCAGTGATAATACACGTTAATTCACTTTTACAGAATATATATTGATCTAATTCTAATTATATAATGATCCACTTTCATATTTTATCTACAGGTGGCATGTGGACCTTTATAATGATGCCCAATTGCGTAGTACATGTAATTATGTATATATATTATCTTTGTGCCTGTTTGGGACCAAAAATGCAGAAGATAGTAGCTCCTTGGAAAAAATATGTGACTCGTTTGCAACTGGTATGTAGTTATTTTACATCAATTTACGTTTGTTATACGATATTGTATTGTACGTTGTTCCAACTAATTTTTAGCCATCGCTGTTTCAAGATAATAAGGTTTCCACATTCGATTCGATAAGTTTTGAAAAGCATAGCGTTCCTATACCGGATTCATACGGGCATATGGAATAGCGCGTTTCGCGTGATATGTTCATATATACGCGGACTTCATTGTGGTTACAGCGCTCCTGTAACTCGATAACTGGCTTTTCACGAGGGATTGAAAAGTTCCGTAAGCGCTGCTTGCAGAATCACATGTGTTCTCGTCGAATCTCAATTCGGTTTGCATTTGAGCGTAACAGCGAGGGGCAGGGAGACGGGTGGACGAAGGCTCGCAGTACCGTTTTTAATTAAATAATCCGTTACCAGAGAATTTTTATTTCCAGCGATATCGACGGAACGATTTATCGGGTTACGTGGTTGTTTAATTTCGCGCGGAGCTTTTGCGCTCTAAAATTCCAGTCAGGTTGGACGAGGAAGGGCAAAATGGCGTGTGCTTTTTTGCATGCAATATATCGAACCCGTCAAGCGTGCACTATATGTGAATATTATGTGTCCTTACTACTTTTACACGGTGTCGTGAAAATATTTATTTACTTTCTTCGGAATAATTCCTTAATGAGACGTTTAAATACTTTTAGACTACTTCGATCTAGGAAATTTATGTGTAAATATTTCACATTTATAAATTTTAATTAGCCGTTAAAAGATATGCGCGAAGTGGTTATTGTAAACATGTGTCTTTTCATTTATTACGTTGAAATTCAACATATATAATTTTCTTCGTTTCAGATTCAATTTACTATTATGGTGATCCATACGTTTCAAGCACTTCTACCGTCTTGTGAACCAACGCGGAAACCATTAGCATACATTTACATGTCTCAAGTTGTTATCGTATTCTATATGTTCTTAGATTATTATAGGAAATCGTACTTGCGAAAGAAGATTGAATAAATATTAAAAGTAATATTTTATGTAATAATTAGTCCAGAAGATATTGAAGCAATGCATTTACATCCGCGGATTTGAATAATTGTCATCTGAATAAACAAATAAAGTTTCTCTGTTGTATTGTATGTATAGATTAATTTATAGTTAGTTTCCAAATAAGAATGCATGCAAATTTTCAATAATTTGTAATGATCACTAATCTAGATGAATGAAATTGGAAATAGTAAAATTTTACAAGTTATGCGGAAATTCATAAATTGTATAAAAAAGAGGAAAAAAGTAAAAATTTGTATTTATTAATTTATTATATATGTACATATATTAGAACCTCTCTTATTAATCATATTTTTTCAACATGCTAAATAACTGATTTCATCGATGCGGCGCGGCGCGGGCGTTAGTATTATAAAGAAGATACTGTTATAATTTAATATAATTTCATACTGCAGATATTACAAAACTTCAAAATTTTTCATAATGCCATTGCTAGCTGCGAGCCTACTTTTATTCAATAAATAATCAATTACCGAATTCTAAACAATGTTATGTATCGTTCTTATTACTTTTTACACGCGATAATGTGATTATCGAAAAGACAACAAAGACACGAGAGAAGAATCAAATACCAAAGTTACTCGCGAGATCTCAGGAGAAAAAGATTTATAAAAGATATGCATGAAATACAGAAACATATACACACACAAGTCACTATGAGATGAGATACGTTACGCTGTACGTAATGCTGCTGCATTACGTCAGGTCGGATTTTATTCGCAAGGCTATCTGCCATCGAATCTTTTTCTCCTTTCCGATTTGCTGCGTATTATATAATGTTCCAGATTACGTCACGTCCGTGTCGTAAATATGATATGCCGAATTCGCAACGCGCTGAATTCGCTCGTTTTTTTTCCTCATTCTCATTCCTACCTATGCCGCTCAATCCTTCGTGATACGAGTATTTGCCATCAGAAATAGAAGATATTCCGAAAAAGCACCGTATAGATAATATCTTAAAACATATTGGGAAAACCTTAATGTTTACTATTTTTTAAAGCAATTACTTAAACCTTTCAATTACTTAATCTTACGCGATTATTTCTCATCTCGTAAAGGAGTTTGAAAACGTGGAGCTCTTTTGGAGCCATCTTAAAGGGATACTAGAGTGACCAAATTATCACAGTACAATCGTATAAAAATCTTCGAATTGACTGAACGAAATAAAAAATCCTTTTATAGGATTAAAATAGACGCAAAATTAGGAGGTGGTGCAATGAACCTTTTATTTGAAAGTAAATCGAAAGAATGTTAAAAAATTTTTTAACTTTTTTTTGACAAGGTCCACTGCACCACCTCCTAATTTTGCGTCTACTTTAATTCTGCAAAAGGATTTTTTATTCCGTTCAGTCAATTCGAAGATTTTTATACGACTGTAATGTGATAATTTGGCACTCCAGCATCCCCTTAACCGCAATCCCACTGTCCTCATAGTCATACATCGTTCTACGTAGTGCATGACGGGGAAGATTGTATTACCTCACTCGACTGTTTTCTCGGCCGACTGACATTAGCATATAGCGGATTAGTGTGTTCATGGCTTTAAGTCGACACGCATGGTCTCACGCCGATAAGACTTTATTAACATTGCCTGTATTTATCCCATGCTTCAAGACCCCCTTTCTACACAGTCTTTCAGTCTATAGGCCCTCGCTATTTATATGATTATATAGGCTAATCGTTTCATTAGGGTTTTATTTATAACACACATTAACATTATATACAATATTATTAGCACACATTGCTTTTTATTTTCTATATTTAATACATTTATTCTTTCTATATATAATTTTCTCTTCTAGGAGATTAATGCTTCGATCTTTATGCTTATCATATTTCTTATAATATATTAAATTAAATTATTAATTTAGAGATGTTTGCAATTATAATAAATCTCAAATTATTATTATACTAATAGACAAATAATTATTCTGTTCTGCTACCGAATGTTTACGAATTGTCCTTCAACGTAATAAATGTGTTCATCGTCTATTTATTTAGCATGAGTAATCACTTCTTGGAGTTGAACATATCGAGGCAATACGGTGATTTATTTACTTAGCTAGTCCAGAATATAAAGGATCGAGAATTGTATAAGAAGGTACTTGGAATGACATACGAAAGAGGGGAAGATCTCGCGTCGAAAGTACGAAGGATAAATTAAAGTAAGAATTTCATCACTATCTTGATGCAGCAAAAGGAAGCTTATTTACGAAATAGCTCTATCGCTCAATTTAGGTCATAATTATACGTTTTTTTCTATCTCTATCATATTATTTTAATCAATATGATAAAATAGAATCGTGGCTTATTTCGAACTAATAAATCGGTGAATTCAAATAATCAGTTAATATACAATAGAAAATATAAAACAATATTATTTGACTATGTAATCACTGAAGAAGACTTTGTAAGTCGAAACGTTTGAATCTTATATTATATTTTGTTTTATATTTTCTATTGTATATTAACTGATTATTTGAATTCATTGATTTATTAGCTCGAAATAAGCCACGATTAAATTTTATTGTTTTACAATAACTATATACATATATACATAATTTGAGCCTTTACCTATTAATTTTAATCAATATGATAAAGTAAAAAGTAAATACCTAACTCGAAGTCTATCTGTTAAATATTGTATGAATATATATGTTCAAAACAAATTTTTGGATATATATTTATATCCATATAAATATATAACAGATATAATATATAATAGATAGCCGTGTCGTTTGATTCTATCATTGAATACGTAACTTTTCCGAGTTTGCATCGACGCCCACTTTTAATTCATCGTCATGAAATATGAACAAGCAGTAGCTAGGTTTCGGCACGCAATAGTTTCACCTACCAAAAAAAAAAAGTGAAACTGTAAAAGATTCTTTCGTACGAAATGTATGACCGTCTCGGCACCTATCTCGCCTCACTGTGGAGAAGATTCATTTTTCAGTCTCTCTCTGAGGGGCCGGCCTCCAGCCAGAAACGTGACCTCGACGCGGTGCACAGCCACAACTTTTAGAGAATATTTTGCAAGTTTCGAGTCGCGATGCACGTAGATGCGTTCTATTAGTACGAGAGAAGAACATCGTTTGCGACTATTTCAAGAAAGAAACTCCTAAGGTACAATTACGCTTGTTTTAAAGTAAAAAGAAACTTTCAAGCACATTAGAACGTGTTTCAGGATGAAGGACCAAGAAATCCCCAAGAACAAAAATGCACGTATAAATAATCGAGCCTAGAAATAATTTTATTTCATTGTGAAATATTTTGTAACTAATATTATACATATCAGCATTAAACTCGTTGTGAATATTGAATAATATTCAAGCATATACATATAAAAAAATAAAAAATTATAAATTAAAATAATCAAAAGCGGAATACTTTTTTTTTATCAGTAAGATATTTTCTCCTATAATCAAAATATGCAGACAATGTATGGATATTATACATATTAAGTAATATAAAGCATCATTGCTTTGCCTTGATTTATTTACCTCATCAACATTGTTCAGATTTTAAATCGTCCATTTTACAGAAAAGCAAATATTGCAATATCGATCGCACTATCGGTAGCTGGCTTGCAAAAGTGCATATTGCAATTCGCGCCACGTAATATATGGCAGTCGCGCTCCTTATTTTTGGAAAATTTTAATACCACACCCGGTGTCATTATTGCCGGCTATGCGTGCCTCGTGACTCTTCGGCGAAGCGCAGCCAATTCTGTGAAATTTATAAGGTAGCACCAGCACCGGTCGCCGCTTCCATATTACGATCCTCCGTTACGATCGCTCGGTATACGAGGTAATTGGTTGCTTAAATACCGAAGTATATATATACGTGAGTATGTGTGTGTGTGTGTGCATGTTGTATCTACTGAAACAGGCTAAGATAGTCTCAGCTCTTTGGCACGGTACCTACGGGCGCTTCGAAAGCTCGCTCGAATTGTCTGCCGTTATCGTATATCTCTTTTGCTGCCAGTGTCTTGCGATCTGCCACTTGCAGCATTGGTTACGGATCCGACGTATGCAATTTTGAATCAAATTGTATACAGGTTTACGAAAATAATAGCCGGAAACACTGAAACATATCGAGCATTATTCACCTTTGTTATCAAGCAGGAAAAGATAATCAATTTTTTATTTAATCGTACTTATTGCATCTAATACCGTTCCACTACGTTCAAAATATCACAGACGTCATCACACTTAGAATTATTCGTTTTTGTAATTCTTACATATTTTAAGAATGTTAGTATAATAGATATATGAATATGTGCAACATATATTAATAGCATATCATTAAAAATTCACAGATGTTTCAAAGCGGTCTTTAAATCTTGTCGAGACAATTTCGGAGATGAAAGATTACATCATATATTGCAGAAATCGTAACGCTACCGGAACGTAATAGAGGAGTCCACCGTATTTATGATCGGTGTAAAACATCGGGTCTGCAACGACTCGTTCGAAGCGAGAAAATTTCGCGGCAACACGTGGCACCATAGTAGAATTTAATAACGCCGCGTACAGACTCGGGACCGTTTAGAATTTAATACTAATTTAAAAGAGATTAGTTCCGTATTCGGAGCCAAACAAGGATCACTATCCTCACTGGCAGCCCTTTTGCAAGAGGTGAATTTCAGGGACAACGAGTGAGCGCAGAAGCGTAGTTCCCACGAGAGAAGCGGCTTAATTAATTGAACTTAATTTAAATTTAATTTAATTTCCCCTACCTTCGCAGGACGTTGATAGCACACGCGACTGCCATCTTACATGTCGGTACAATCGCACGATGGAGAGAGAGTTCGTATTTTTTGTATGAATGGCACGAACGTCATAATTTGCATTGTGAAACTGCTTCTCTCATTGTCAGATCATTACGTTTGACAGATATATTATTTTTTGGAAAATTAATGCACTATGTTTGCGAAATAATTTAAATACTTCGTGCAAACTTACGAAACAATTGTAATAAATTATTATTATATTACGTTATCGAGAGTT